TTTTCAAAAATTAATTTTCTCCTTTAAACCTTTGGAAATAGGAAAGTGCCTTCGATGAAAACAGAGTTCCTCAGTTTTAAAGGTCAGCCCTTATTATTTTCTGCTAATTTCGCTAAATTTTAGACCTAGGACACTTGAGCCCACGTTGTCGACCGCATACCCGCTGACGTAGCATTTCATTATTCAGCTCTGTCGGTGCTGAACACTCCCTTTTCTTGCACGATTACAGTAGCTTAGGGACCTGGCAAATGCTGCCAAGTTTTCCAAGATGGCGGTGTTTTCATTAAGCAATCTGTCAAAACTCTTCAGTGTTCCTTTGGTCTACTAAATCTCCTTTCAAACTCAACGTTAAGATAAAGGTTATTTAAATACATGAAGATTTCATTTTCAACGCGATTTACAAAATATGGTAAATTACTTCTCCAGTAAATCGAAGTGCTCATATCATGCTTAAATCGTGAATCGTGGTGATATAAACAGGTGCTACTAAACTTCACAGCACATGGTTACATTTTGCTCTGCAGTTTTATTTTTTTTTTTTTTAATTCACCGTGTTTTCAACACATTCTCAGATACAAGAGATCAACCATTTGGGAAATTTAAATCGGTCAGAATTTTTCTTTAACTAGAAATGATGAAAACTCCGATTATTAACCTTGAAAATGGGGGTTCGACTTATACATGGATAAATACGGTACATATGCACACAATGTCAAGTAGTCAAGTGAGGAGAATAGAGAAAAATCTCAATTAGGGGGGTTATTTGTTGATCCAACACAAAATTCTCCAAACTAAAAGAATTGTACTGCAAACAGTAAAGAGAATTTCTAATGAGGTCTTGGGGTGAATGGTTAAGAATGTAAACAGACTAGAATCAACAAAGGAAACTAAGGATATCAAACCTGGTCGAATGGCAGGGTGAGATGAGATGGAACCCTGAGTTTTAATTCCTGGGCCAATTATTGGCAGTACAGTCTGAGGAAGTCCAGAATGGATGGCAGGTCCTGGACTTCTCTTCATTGCTACTGGGGACACTTCTCCAATAGGAATGGGGACTTGCAGTGTTTGAAGTTGTTTGGCTTTCTTTTCTGGTTGTGGCACCTCAGATGTTACATCGTGGGGACTAGCTTGAGGTCTGGGAGAAGTACTTGTGTATGTGACTGTAAACAAAAATTAGGAATGAAATTTTTGTGATAGTCTCTTCTATCACCATTATTCTGTAACCAGCTATACCTGCACATTAATTTTAGTGAAATATACTATTAAAGAAAAAAAAAAAAAGATTCCTGAATGAGGGCAATATACAATTGTATAAGCAGGCCTACAAAAAGCCATATGACCTTAAGCCAAATACTGGTCCAGCTAGCCTCCCAGTTGATGCTCTAAAATGCTCGTACTATTTGAAAAACAATTTTCCCCTTGGTAAATCAACGGATGGCATTTCCAAAGAATAAACCATGTACATCATATGATAAAGATAACCTTTACAATTATCTGTAAAGTACCTGATGTCACAGAAGAAACAGCACTAGAAGTCTTGTATTCTGATGTTTTCCCATGAGTAGAAGCTGAACCTCCATCTGATGCTCTGGGGTATGGATGAGCCACACCCACAGGGAGGGAAGGGCCAAGTGAGCTACCACCCCTAGAGATTAAAGTTGTTTGTGGTCTGGTCAGAGCTCTGGCTGCTGTCTTGTAAGACTTTTCCTGATCCTCCATTCCCTGACTAGGAAGGGGACTTCTTCTGCTGCTACCCACCTCACTCAATGCAAAACTTCCCTTAGACTCTGTTATTGTTTTGCTGTGTTCCATTGAGGATGAAGTGAATGTCTCATTAGGGTCAGATTGTGCACAGCCAGATGTAATAAATTCTTGCTTAATCCCCTTTGATGTCTCTGAAGGCTGAAACTCGTGCTTGACTATGACAGGTTGAAAGGGGCTTGATGTAGTTTTCCTTTCTCCCCCTACAGAATGTACTTTGGTACTAGTGATTGGAAATGATGTACCGGGAGACAGTGTGCTAGAATCATATCCTGGTCTAGAAAAAGATGTATGCATTCCCACATTCCCAATTAATGGTGGAATAGGCTTAGGGCTTTTTGCAGAGCGATGACTTTCCATAGAAACTCTTGCCTTGTCAGGAAAATTAACATTTCGACTGATTGCTTCAGGAATTGGACTACAATTACTTGTATAAACAGTAGACACCGACAAGTTTTTAGTTGATTTTCCCTCGCTTTTGCTCTCTTCCTCAGCTGACACTTTCATATTCAAGACTGTCCTGAAACCCTCACCTGATACAGGATCATTCTGGTTTTGAGCAGGTTCCACCTTCACTCCATTCCGAACAAGTTCTGGATATCTAATTGGAGCCAGAGTAGCTTTGGGGTCAATGTTTACCTTCTGGTCTTCATCAGATGTCCTGATGTACTTATCATAATTTTCATCGCCATAGTTTCTGCACTCAAAAAATTTATATCGCATTGAAGGGGCATCACTGTTAATTAGGGGTGGTTCAACAGCACTTCGGGAAATGCTCTTAGAAACAAGTGCTTCCATGGAAATATTTCCAGCTGAAGTTTTGATACTTTTGTCATCTACCACTGTTTGTGTTGTTTCAGGATTTTTCTGAAATGGCACATAAGTCTGTGCAGATAACTTCTCAGGAGCACCAGTTTGTGAGGGCCATAACTCACTCTTTCTACTTTCAAATTGAGATAGTAACTTTCCATCTTGGTTTTTGTTCCTTTTCTCTTCAGCAAAAGTGTCCTCAGCTTTGACACCAAAGTAAAAGCTACTTTCAGGCTTTGTTATAAGTGCATCAGAACCTACGAAACTCTTGCTGGAAGTTACCTCTGATTTTTCAGCTTTGCTCAAAGAGTTATCTCTTGCAGAAAAAGAGAGCCTAGGATTCGTTTGGTCTGAATCTGAGGCAGAGCAGGACAAATCTGGTACATCTTTGCTTGTGTATTCAGAATCTAAAGGAAATAGAGAAAAAGCCTGGAATGATATCAATCTGTTTAAGTTTTCTCAACTCACTTTTCTTGACCTTCACTGAAAAGTTCCTAAAATGTGAATGTCTCAAAGCATCTCACACAACTTATATCTTTAGGCTTTTTTGAAAGGAGCAGGAACTTTGCTCTTAATATTTGAATGGTAGTCAATCTTAATCTATTTTTGCTGGAAGAAAATTATTGTTAACTTCAAAATAAGACACAAAATCAGCTCACACTCAGAGGTCTGCACATTAACAGAATTTCCATTAACGCACAAGTGTACCTCTTCTACACACAAAAAATGAAAAGGACGCATAGTTTTTTGCCAATGTGCGTCCTTGGGACGCGAGAAAAAAGTTCCGACTAGTTAGGAGACTTGGTCTGGCGGGCCCTACCCAATAATCACTGCGATCATCATGGCATGTCCTTTGACCCACCCTTTTGTCATGGTCAAAGGCATGTCTACTCAGAAGGGTTTACTCAATATACTGTATTCATCTATAAGCCAAACTTGGCTATAACCTGAGACCCTAAACTTTGGTCTATTTTAATTGGGAAGGTTATCGAAAAAAGTACATCGAAAATACTCGGTTATAAGCCAAGACCATATTCGAAGAATTCCATTCTCAAACAAACTGAAATGAATGCAAAAGTTTCCAAACAGAAAAGTGTTTCAATGCATGGAGTATTTCCATCGAAAACAATTCTGAGATAGCCAGAGAGTATGTCATTAGTGAGCCTATGGTCCGCCCCTGGAGGAAAGATCAAGAGATCCTCTTTAATGGAGAGCTCAAGATGTTCGCGAAATGTACAACAATGGGCTGTTACTCTCCGAAATATCAGCAGCTAGATGAGAGATTACTTGACTGGTTTACAGTGCAGAGAAGCCAAGGTAAGTTTTGTTTTTACACGATTGCAAATTTCAACACCGTAGCACGTGATGAGTTTGTTGACCAGTCGTGGGAATGGGCAATTCTGATTGGTCAGTTTCAAAATCATCAGAACACTTTTGCAAGATCTATACTCGTTCAAAACCTGCAGAATCTTTAACGCTTTAGATGGCATGGAGGATGAAGCAATCTACACGGAAGAAACAGCAGAACTAGCGGTAGAGGAGGAGTTGAACAACGAATTCGACAACGACACTGAGGACGAACAGTAAGCCATATTTACCACGCCCCAAAAACAACAAACAGTTCCTTTGGAAGCCACCACATAAATAAAAGTCAATGACCAACTTCAACTCGTTTCATTATTTATTTCTGCATACAGTATCTCGGCTTGTAGATGAATATATCTCTGTTTCCTTTGAATTTGCTGTTTCCGAAAAATCATGTTGGGAAAAACACTCAGCTATAAGCCGAGAACCCTTCTCTAGCTCCAATTTTAGAGATTTAGGGGCAAGAGTACCATATAACCCCATACCTTAATTATGCATTCAGACTAGTAGACTTCATTTTTACAGTTTTGTTGTGAAAGACAAAGAAGTGGAATGCATAATTAACGTATGGGGTTATATGATACTCTTTCCGATTTTGGTAAAGTTTGTCAAAAAATCACTTGGCTTATAGATGAATAAATACAGTATTCAATATATTTGAAAGAGGAAACCTGAAAGTTATACAGATCTGGGGGATAATACCAAAGCGAACAAATGCAAATTTTGTCCTAAATGGCTGAAGGAGTTTCAATGGTTGAAATATGATTTGACCGAAAAACAACTGGTTGGTGCTACGAAACATGAGCACACTTTATTCCAAAATTAAAGCTCTATTAATTGCGTTAAAACTTGGTCTTGGCTTTTGCCTCTGTTAGAAACTATAAAATCAAATTTTAGTAAAGGGCAGGGGACCCCTAAAAAGCTAAAAGGACCCCCAACTTTTGGAACTGGGGGTCCCAAGGACCCTTAACTATCAAAACTAGAGGGAACTCTGATCAAAAGGAAAAAAACTGCAAGCTCCTTGGAAGAGAATTCCATAGAAAAACATGCTCATTAGTTTGTCCTGCATGTGTGTGTGTGTGTGAGCTTTTAAATGGAGGTCATCCATTGTTTCATGCCACGTACCTTGGCCAGGATCAATGTCTTCTTCAGTCTCACTGATGTCCTCAACTTCAATGCCTAACTGATTAATTAGCCCTACTCCTTTGTCAACAGCCTGCCGAAGATCAACGGGCTGCACCCCAGGAATGCTAAGCTTGTTGCTTGAATGTTTGCCATCAAAACTGCCTTCCACAAGAACTTTCTCCATATCCTCCACTTGACTTATGCTGATCCTCTCCTCCTGGTTAAGGGATTTACTGCCCCCATTTGCCACACTAAACCCGCTGTCAATAACAGTTTCCCAAACCTCTTGGCTAGCCTGTGGAGTATCAGATTTCATGAGATCTTTTCCACAACCTTGCATTTCATCTGTGGTTGCTGTGCACATAGGTATTGGAATAGAGAGAGTGGACGAGTTGGAGGAATCATTAGCTCTTATTGTCTCTTCTTTATCCAATCTCTTAACAGAAGATTTCTGCTCTTCTAGTACAGGCTGAAAACTATTTTCTTCTTTGATGTGGTCAACTTTCTCTTGGATATCATTCTCTAACCTGATGTCCTGTTCACAAGCCTGTTGACATTTATCAGAACTCTCCACAAATGATACAGTAGTATCCTTCTCGGAAGCATCTTCTGTTGAAGGAATGGGTGATTCTGACATTTTAGCCTCCTTTGTGGCTGTAGTATCAGTGCATGTTTCAATCATTTCCTTTTTCTTGTTAACCGCTCCTCTGGAGGACTCACTCTTTTTCTCATTCATGGAAGCAATAGCAGCTGCTAAAGATGGCGACACACTCCGTGCCCTGGCACTAACACGAGATGTCCTTCCCTTAAAGCTTGTTTTTGTATCAGGCTCTTTAAACTCTTCCACAGGGGAGGGGCTAGTGCTGGCAGATCTCTCATCTGATTGGTTAGACTAATGTAGAAAAAAGAGCATACCATAAATAAAGTTCAGGTAACACTAAAGGTTAGGATTAAGGCAGAAACATGTACATTTAACATTAGATGCACATTACAAAACTCATGAAATGTATGAAATTCCATCTCGGGCAGTTGAAAAGATGGCACCATAATTTCACTCCTTTGCAAACTTCTTTAATTAGGACAAGACATTCAATTTAGAACAGAGTGTTGACACCCCAATGTTACAGTCAACCTTTCAGGCTGGGACATGTGTTCAAATTGGCGCAACAAAACATGAAATCACATGGTCAAACAAATTATTATGTGGTTCAAGTAAACAAAATAATATTTGATCAGTAAATGTTCCCACCTCCTCAAGGTGAGCATGTGCCTGATGATAGCGTAGTCCATTTATGTGCTTGTACTTTTTGTCACATCCTGGCTCAGGACATTCAATCAATGTTGGAGATGGTTGAGGAGACACTGTTGTTTTCATTGTGCAGCTTCGCTTTCCAGGTCGCCGTGTCCCATCATCATCATCATCTATGTTTTTAGACCGTCTTTTCCCAAGACCCTTAAAACCTTGGGACTTTGGTGGGGGGCAGCCTGATACACCTCTCTTTCGACCACGAAGTTTGTGCTTGAGTGGGGTAACTGCAATAAAATAGTTTATGTTTGAGTCATGAAGGGTGAAACAAATGAACACAGAAAAGAATGCTAAAAGCACAGCACTTCGGGAAAGGTCAGAGAGAAAAATCTAGATGCAATGTTTAAACACAACCAACCTTCCATTCTTTATTTTTGAAACTTTCTGTTTGATAACCCTTGCTATTGACTACTTTCATAAATGGCTGCGGGATTAATATTATTTTGTTTAAATTTAAATTAGCCTTTCTGGCCTCACCTGAGTTAACGTATTCTTTTGAATTTTGTGCTGGAGAACGAGGCCAGAAATGCTAATTTAAATTTAAACAAAAGAATACTAATCCGGCAGCCATTTATGAAAGTGGTCTATTCATGTTATCAAATTCACCTTCCTTATTCACACTTCCTGCAGATGACGATACCGAACTGCCTTTCTGTCTCCTTTTACCCTTTCCACCTTTTCCACCCATCTTCATTTCATTTTCACCGCCATCTATAGCAGGAAATCTGTGGATATAAGGATAACCAAATAATATGCATAAGTGACATGTACAGTCCCTGTCTACATGTAATACTACACCAAAATTGCATACTTTTAGTTTACATGTAGTTTTGCTGAACATTACCCTCGCTTCACGAAATCACAAGAGAGTAAATTCATCTGTTTCTAGAAAGCTAATTCTACACTTGATTTTGCAAAGTTGAAAGGAACATGACTTTTAAGATATAGTAACCCCTAGGAACACAACATTTAGCTACTTCTGGTAAATGTAAGGTATGTGAGTCCATGTAGATTATCTAATAATGCATACCTTGGGCTAGCCCAAGCATGGTGAGAACAGTCCATCAGGGAACCGCAATAAAACTTGTCTCTCCACTTGATGTTGACAACCAATACTCCTGAAATTCAGACAATGATTGATTCTAGTGATGTTACCTGCATGCAGTACAATGCTGAGCTCGAGCTCTAGACCAGTTCTATGCCTTATTTCTTAGGAAACAGAACGTGGTGTTTGTGGTCCACTTCACCAAGAAATTGCACTCAGAACAACAAATTGGACAACACTCACCGCCAATTTCATGGCAGACTATTCCATGAAGGGTCACAGGGGCACCAGGTGATGCAGGAGTAGAGCTGTTTTCATCACCTTGACACAAAGAATTGGGAAGCTTTTCTAAAAGATCTGCTAATGGGATGTTGCCATCTAAACCCGCCATGAATCCTTGAAGTCCACTGGGAAGAGTCTACAAAATCAGGTATAACAATTGGCTCATACTAACAGAAAATTTAGGATAGACCATGATGATACATGTACACAAGTATGTTAAAAGCAAAATAAACCAAGAAGAAATAAAAAAAAAACATAACATAACACAAACAATATTTGAACTTGTGCCTAACTTAGTATTGTAGTGCACAACTAGTGTCTATGAGACACAGATTCAAATCCTGTGAAGCATAAACTTCTCAGGCCTCTTTTCTGCAATTTTTCATGGCAGCTCACCAGCTAAGATCATTTCTTTACTGTTACACAATTAACAAATGTACAGTACAATACCTCTTGATCATCTGGAGGTTCTTGCTTGATCTTCACCTGTTTTACATTCTTGTCATTTCCATTTAATGAAATGTCGTCATCATCATCCTCATTTTTACTTTCCTCTTCCTCCTCTTCATCCTCATCATCATCTCCTTCATCTTCATCGTCTTCATCGTCATCGTCATCGTCATCATCAGCATCATCATCATCATCGTCATCATCACTACCATTATCTTCCCCATTGCCATCTGCTCCTGAATTTCCACCATTGCTTGAGCTGTTCTCGTAATCCCTGTTTTTGGAGATCTTCCTTCCACGATTCCTCCCACCATTTTGAGACTTTGGATTATAATCTTTATTCTCACTTTTCCTTCTTCCACGACTGACAGCTCTTCCTTGCTTCACTGTGTTAAAAGCTGTAACACATTCCTGGTTTACTTCAAAAGTTTCCTCCTGGTTAGCTGCTTTTTCATTTTCTTTACAAGGAACACCAGAAGACTTGAGTTCCTCACTGGATCCATTTTCTTTCTTTTCCTCCATTTCTACACATGAATTTTGATCGTCTGTTCTTGGCAAGACACACCTTATTAGGTCATTTCTTGGATCAGGCCCTTCTTTAGTGAAGTCACCACCAAATGGAGTCTTCTCATCCTGCATTAGCTCCAAGTCTTTAGCTTGAGGAGCACAAGATGTTACACTGACTGAAACTGTCATCCCTTAAAAACACTACCACTAGCACCTTGTTGTCCCCATGAGTCCAGCCAGTGATTCTAGAGGGTGAGAAAGACAAAACTAAAGATTTGTTTAAGTGAAAAAAAATTTTCTCCTAATACAAGTTTTCTTTTTACTTTTTTTCCTTTAACAAGGTTGTAAAATTCCAATATCCTACACATCAAGCACATACTGCAAAAAGAGCTATGAAATTACATGTTCACAGTCAAGTTGTGATAGCAAAATTTTGGTTTTCGTTACTTAATACAATAGTCCTTTCTACAGGAAAATATCATACTCGATAAAGATGTGGTAAATAATGTCCTTTACAATATACTCTCTGATTCTTACAGCACAAGCAGAGAACAATACTATCATTTTATTATTGATCAATATCCTAATACTTAAGAGAAATCTAAGCTCATTTGCTTTATTACTGTTTGGTTTTTCTTCAAAAACATGAAATTGTTAAATATACATTCAGAAAATAAGTATTTTCTAAAAGTAACATCCCTTCAAACAAAATAATTAATGTAAGATACAAATTAAAGAAATCCTTGGCAAATCTTAAATTGTGTCTCTTTAGAGGATAATCTTATATTAAGAGCTCATAATTTCTTCACAGACACCCATATAAACAATCTTCTCATGTTAAAGTTCCATCAAAAGTCAAGTTACATAATATAGCATGTTGCATGACTGCAAAATGTCGTGTTCTCTATTATATAAGCCTGATAGGTGAAAGAAATTTTCAAACCAGTAATCAAGAGGAATCCTTTCCATTTCGAATTTTCAAAAAGTCCAAGCGATTTTAGGCAACAATAGGAGGTGCATCATGCATCTTTACTGGTTACCGCCTGAAATGGGAACACTGAAAACAGCTTTCCAACTTGGTACAATATTATGAAATTCCAGAAGAAAAAAACATGCACGAATACAGGCAAAAATACATGCTTATTTAGAAAAAAAAATGCACAAAATTCTTCCAGGATAAAGAACAATTTTAAGACAACATCTCATGATCTGACTTTGGAAAAAAGAAACCATAATTTTTAATTTAGATCACAAACTAGATCTAAACACACAGCCTTGCCTAACGCTTAGAAGGTCAGCCATTGAAACCCATTGGTGGTGGCTAATTTACAAAATCAACCAAGTGAATTGAAACATATTTGTTGGTTACATTGTTCATTGCAATTAAACTTTTATTTCAGTCTTGAATAATGTTTATGGAACCAAGTAAACATAAATCTTTAGTCTGCCTACTGACGTACAAAAGCATAACTTGTGGATATGGAATGCCCTTGTTACAGATCATTGAGTAGTAATCCATAATTTGAGTGACTAACATTTAATTTCTCCTTATGATATCACACATGTGCTTCACACATTAAGGTCACGAGAATAAAGAAAATGATCGCCAACTTAAGAAGCTCTCGACTGTTAATAAAATTCTCCTTGACCGCACCTCAGGACATACATAGAGAACTGCATGGAGAGTATATACATGCTGATGTTACGGCGTAAATGGTTCAGTGAACCACAGATTGCCCCGTCAGAAAGACAAGGAGGAAATAATTAGCAAACTTATAAATGCTGGTAAGTGGACTTGGTTTGTCTCCCACTTTGGTGATCAATTTTATCTATAGTATTAAAGTAAAGAGCTGCTGACAGGTTTTCAAGTGTAATCATGTTGACTTCATAACCAAATAAAAATACACACTTTGCAAATAAAAATTTTCAGATTAAAGCTCCTATTAACAATCCGTTTGATGTAGATCATGAGTCACCTAGCAATATCTGCTTGGGCTGTTACTGAGAACCCCATATCAATCATGACTGAGTGATGTTGTCTGCCTAAAACATAACTCTTCAAGCGAAACTAGTTAAAAAAAAAAAACTCTTTGTTTAACTCAGTCTCTTTGGCAACATGAATCACAATCAATATCAACACTCATTTAAAGATTATTGCAAAACAATAGCGCAATGGCAAGAAGACAAAACAAAAATTTCTAGAGAATAAGATAGACTGTTCTGTACATCCCATCTAAGACTTCTTGAGAAAACAATTTGCAAACAATTCCAAAAGTCAATAACAGTTTCTCAAGAACATGAATACTTACAGTATATTGCCAACTGTTACTGATATAGTACTAACATACACCTATTAGCAATATCAGAAAGGCAGAGAGAAACATTTAAAGTAAATCATATCAATTATATTGATATTTAAAATCATAAAATGCTACTTAAAGGAAGTTTGAAATTGGAAAGATCTAGATGTA